TTGCGTAGCAACGGTTCTCGCCAGAGCCTCTAGAAGGGGTTGCGGCGTGCGGAGTCGCCGCTGGGCCCCCCTGCGGTTGTGTGCGCTACTGCCATTGTGATTTGCATAGCAAGGGTTCTCACTGGTTCGGAATCGCATTGTAAGGGCCGCGGCCCCCGCGGGTGTGTGCGCTACTGCCATTGTGATTTGCGTAGCAACGGTTCTCGCCAGAGCCTCTAGAAGGGGTTGCGGCGCGCGGAGTCACCGCTGGGCCCCCCTGCGGTTGTGTGCGCTACTGCCATTGTGATTTGCATAGCAACGGTTCTCACTGGCTCGGAATCGCATTGTAAGCCAAGCGTGTCTCACCTCTTCTTGCTTTACATCCTGCTAACACTGCCCGCCGTGGTCGGGATAAGACCACTTGATAGCTTTGATGGTCGTTTCGAGTGCGTTACGTTTTGAAGGTCTCATGCGGATCTGATCGCAAAATCCAGAGCCTCCAAACTTCTCTCTCCGCCTCCTTCTCTCTCTCTCTCTCGTCCCTCTCATCCTTGTTCATCACATCATCAGACACTTTATCACACACCCACACACACACACACGCACGCCATCTTACCACACACACACCTCCTCCCTCCCCATTCTCATCCTCGTCCATCACATCATCACTTATACTACACGTCTTAGCACAACCGCCTCATATACCTTCTCTCCTCACACTTCGTTCTTGACTTTTCATCTCACTACTCCGTCTCCCGTGTGATGTTCATATACATTTGAAATTTGTAAAACTTATCATGTGGGGTTATCCGGTCCTTTTATTTTGTTTTGTATTGCCAACCCTTGCTGGAGCCCTGACTGGCGGAAAGCCATTGTACAAAATCAAAAACAAAAGCGTAGATTACTCCCTATTTAGACACATATTACAATATGTAATATAAAATATATACATATGTTTAACAAGTATATAGATGGTTTACAAGATCGTAAGCAGAGTCATGAATGCCTCATCATATTTTATGGAACCGTTTATACAAATTTAAACAACATTCTGGCCAGGGCATGCCACGGCCAGAACATCTTTACATATTTACAGTAAGTGCAAAGTGCAAAGCTGAGGGCACAAACCCATGCTCAAGGAGCGTGTGTCTGAACACAGCTTCCAAGTCATCTACCATAGGATGGCGCTCGTGGAGTCACTTGTGGAGTCAAGAGTGATGCGGCAAAGAGAACTGAGCTCTTCAGGAACTGGGCGCGATGTTGCCACACACACACAGTTCCTTCATATCTCTTCCTAAACCTTACAATCGCATCATCGTTGCTTGTTTTGCTCATACCGACGATATTGCAGAAATTGTCACGGAACATTGCTGTGCCTCCCTTCTACATACAGGAGGCTCCGCGAGTGCTTGGGCTCCAAGCCGCAGTGCGTGTGGCATGCAAGTCAGCGTGAGTCTACTCGGAACCTGCAACTTCGTGGAGGAACAACAACTCAAGGTCTTCTGCTTGCTTCAGAACTGCGCTCCGACGCTGAGCTGATTTACGTGGATCTGTGAGTGTCGCGGACACAAGCCTTCCGACCACAAACGTTCGCCCAATCGGTTTTGTGGAGAATTCAACCCACAAAAATGACGTAGGTCCTATATTCATCTATATTCTGTTGCACAATGTTGCACAGTAATTTCAAGTGCGCGTTTCCTGAACTCGCTGAAGGAAGAAGTTTCGCGGAGCCAAGCTCAAGCGAACACGCTTGACGAAGGCTACCCCCTTGGTTTCGGATCAACAGGTCGCATTGTGAAAGCGCATCCTGCAAATGCTGCGCGCACCGGCCAGCCGTTGACAAAACCAGGCCCCTGCCCTGCCATTGCGCCACCTTCGTTAGCCCCATCATTGGCAATGCAGCGGCAACACTGGTCGGCTCTGTGCAGAACTCCTGTGACCAACCTGCCATTCCCTTGGATTCGACACTTTTAAGGAAACAACAGAGTGCTCGAAGTGTCGCAGCGCAAAGCCCCCACACAAAACCCAAACCAACAGCGACGCTGACTTCGAAGAACCAAGGACAGTCTATGAGTTCCGCTGTGCCTTTTTAACCCTCCACACTCCTCATAGGTGGTTTGTTTAAATGACAGCAAAGAAATGAACACATCAGCTGATGTGCTGTAAGCTGCAGCCTTGCCTCCATTGTTCCGTCGCTTGTCTTCTTCGCGTCTTCATCTTGTACAGCCCAACCAAAAGGACATTTGACTTGGTCTGAGTTGCCACACAAAGGAATACAGCACTCCTGCAAAAGGCTTAGGCATAAGCGGCCTACGATCCGTATTGACAAAGTGAAAAGTATTGAAAAGTCCCGATCCTCTGGGGTGCTACCAATCTCTGTTGCTTTGCTCTCATTTGCTGTCCAGCCAGAAATCGAGCAGTTCACAGCAGCACCTGATGGCGAGAACAACAAATTCGACAAAGAATACCGGGCAATGCATTTGCTGAGTTCGTGGCAGGTCTTCTCACAGCAGTCCTACCAACATGACGAACAACGAACGTTGTAAACAACAGCATTTCCAGATGCAACTGGGAGTCCTCGGCATTGCTGGACACCTGACGAGCAACACGTCAACCCTCACTTCCTTGCTTGCCCTTGCATTCAGGAGCGGATCTGCCACTCCTGACCGACCGTCCAACCTGCCCAAGCCTGGTTGGTATGTCCCATATTCTGTACTCAAAGGTCTGTCAAGTCTCTGGGTCTCAAGCAACATCTTTCTTTGCTGCACTTGGAGCCCAGGGAGCTGTGCAATTGAAGAGTTGGCATTTTGCTTCGCAACAGTCCTTCTAAGCACGCACTGTGCAGCAAAAAACCATGGGTCAAAGTCCCACCTCTTCATTTTCTTATATAATCTAATATATAATATACAGTATACATCAATATACAGTATATAAATATGTCTGCCCTTACCTTTGACTTTTAAGTTCTTTTGCTCCATCTTGCTGCATGTTCCATCCCCTCCTCCTTGGAGATGCCAGGGGCTGTTGGGTCAGCCAGGACATAACCTTCATCGCATTGGAATTCCGTCCTGACACTCATAAAGCCGCGTTCTCGTGGCCTTTACCATGACGTTAGCACTGAAACTGGATGATCTGGATGTATACATCGTTGCGGGTGCAAACATGCTGCTCAATCCGCCGCTCAACTTGGGGCCTGACCCACACATCTTGTCGCAGCAAACTTGGGGTGAAGATCCGACGTTGCCCCAGTAAGCCTTTTGGGAGCAAAATGCAAGTACAAGTATATAAGTGCATCCCGATTGTCCATGCAATCAGTCTTACACATGTGCGCAGGTTGGTCGTTCTGCACCTCGTTGGATCTGTACGCACCATGGCACGCAAAGAGCTCACAGGTCTTGTCCTTCCAGTTGTGCTACAAACAATCTGGATAGTGATTCTCGATGATTCCGCCAGTTTTATATAGGTGATTTCGCGTGCAACACCTTTTGAGCATGTTGCAAAGATTTCTTTCTGCGCTGAGTTCCGGTCACAGCAGTCTTCTGGGGCAGTACCACTCAAGGTGTGGTGGTTGGCTTTTGGCCTCCAGGCTGATGGACACCTGTCATAGGGTGCGAAGTTCGATGCACACAGCGCTCGAACAAGGCCAAAAATGCCAAAGCTGAGCAGGTTGCTTCATTTTGTTGCAGGATGGCTTGGAAAGGTGATCTACCTGCCCGGGAAGATTTCTTGGACTCGACTCAAGTGATCGAGATTTCTTGCTGACCCTCGCCTTGAACGAACTCCTAAGTGTGAGCTTCTTGGCGGACGCCGCAAACAACAGCACCAAAGTGGCGATAATCTTCATTGCGACCTCGATTTCGCATGACTTTGTTTGGATGTGTCGGTATTGGTCATGGCGAGTTCATCTTTTAGGATCTTTTTGGATGGTGGTTCTCTCGTTTACCTCTTTCAGAACTTGAACAATTGAACAGCGTCGGGACGTACATGCTCCTCAGGTTTCCACCAGAGATGTTCGGTCTGGGAAACAAAGTTACAGACCGACACGGACTTCTATTGAGAATTCGAGCCCAGAGCGCCAGCGAGTGTGCATGCGGCAAACGCAAACAGTTCTTGTTGACATTGTCTAGCCCGCCCACAACTAGAATCCAGCGATTATTTAACACTTGTCTGCATTTCAGTGCAAATACTTCTGAGGTTTGATAGACTGACAACCAAAGTGTCGATTAGAAGAGCCAAAGGTTCCCACCGCAGAACCCTCGTGCCATCAAGCTCGCCCTGTTCAGAATTGAGAATGCACCAACGCTTTGCATGCCAATTCTCAGCCTTCTGGAGCAGCATCAGGAGAAAACGGGAATAGTCCTTGGATCAACAGAATGTTTAAACATTAAGGCACTCATGGGAATTTTGGTTTGCCCTCCCAAGCGGTCCCAACCTTGGCGGTGCTCACCATACCTCCTGTCATCGCATCAACGCTGCCGCCACCTACAGTATCACTATGTCAACATTGCCTTCACTTTGCCTTCTGGCCATATGTGCACGGCGTGGGGTGAAGTCAGAACTTCGAGCGAGTATGCATTGTGTTGTGCAAACAGACTGCGCAAGAGTTTTTCCCACCACCATACTTTGCATCGCTCCGGTCCCACTGACTTGCCAAGCCTGCAAAGATGGGGCTTGTGTTGCCGGAGATCCACCTCAGGATTTAAGATAATTTAAGTGGTGCACGACGGGGCAAATTGTTTGCAGTGTCCAAACCTTATCTTTGGAAATTAAGTATGCAATCGTTCAGTGGAGGACCTCCAGCAACTACATCTGTGCCATAGCAACAGTTAAGGTTGAACAGCATATAGGTATCTATGCGTTGCACCGTCACAGTGCTTAAGATTGAACTTGGCAAAAAAAAGTGTCCGTGTTTTGACCTCTGGGTTTGGGCCTCAAATGTGAAGCACTTTTGGTGGCGCACAGGAGTAACCATGTGACATCATGTGTGGTTCCTGGAATGCCCTCGCACAGGGTCAAACCTTTCGTCGTTGAGCGACACCTGCTTGGGTGCACCGTGGGTGGTGGTGGCGTTCACCCTGGGTGACATCATCCAGTCCAACCCTTCGATTGTGCTACGCACTCTCATCACATGGCCCCTCACGCGACCACTTGCATCATGACGCATCTTCTCTCCTCCTCTGATTCCTGCTTCTTTGCTCTTTTCGGTGGCGCCCTCCTCAAGCTCCTGTCCTATGCTTCCTCTCAGCCACTTTGGCGATTGCTTGTTGGAACCTTTGCAATCCTTTGCCAATTTTCCTCACTTCTTCGCTGCAATTTCACATTGTACTCTTCAAGATCCATCTTCTCGTCGTCTTCATCAATCATCTTCACGATGCGCTTCAGGCCTTGCAACGTTGCTTTGCTCAAGCGCTTTGTCCCTATATCTGCCAAGGGTGACCCTCTCTGCGTTGGCTTGGTTTCTCTCTCCATCGTCTCACTGTGCTCTCTTGCCATATGTAGGCAAGAAACACTTCGCTATGAGTTCGCGCCATTGGGCTCCAGCGTTTTGTCTTGCAGCCACAGCATGGCCGCCGCGGCTACGCGCTTCTAATCCTTCCTGCCGAGGACTTGCGGCTGAGCTGTTAGATCTGCGCTCGCCAGAATTCAAAGCAATACACTTTGGGCGTCTGACATAGCTCTCCATCAAATTTCCCTTCAGGTATATCTGTGCTACTGCCTTTTCGGATCGGATTGGCTTCGTTGAAGTTGAAGGCTCCCCTTCTGCCTGCAGGATGAGTAAGTTGGCGTTGGCAGCCATCGTAACTTAACTACACTTCCGCGACTCTACTCAATGATGCGCTTCCTGTGGCCATGAGGTGTGCAACACTAAGAAATGAGTGAACCAGTGAACCAATGTTCTTTCCTCTCTCGCGTCTGTCAGCGCTGCTTCCACCCTCTCCCCTGCCCCGGCGCTGGCAGTAACCCGGTGGGTTTCCCGCTCACGTCTTCTTGGCAGCTTTGGAACTTTGTTGGGGATTGCCTCCCGTCTGCTTTCTGAACGCAATTTCTCTGCCGCTTCGGCCAGTCTCGCTTCCTCCATTTCCTCCATTTGTTTGTACTTGTGCAGATCCTGACATTGCCAATCCCAGGAGCTAATGTTTGCAGCTGCTTCAGGGTGTTGTGCGTAGTTATCACCAAGCTGGACCTCGCCCTCCTGAGGATCCGCGTTGCCCCTACTAACAAAACAAGCAGCTTCGTCGTCCTCTGGCCACGATTCAGCCTCTCCGGCCAACAGGCGCCGACTCACTGGGACTTCGAAACTAACTTATAATAGGCAGGGGTTCGACTCGTGGCTACCAAGGTTATGTCTTTCTTGGGCCAGCGTCTTCAAAGGTTGCGATGGTTCGCTGTACTGTACAGTGCTGCGCCAATGCTCCGACTTCCGTCTCTATCCTTCAGCAAAGTCACTCCAGGGGCCCATTCATCTCCAAAGCTTCCCTACATTCTCGGAAAGTCCTGGCGACTGAGTTGGAGTGGGCCATGTCACCACTGGGGAAAACATGCGAGCGCTCTTGAGATGTGGCCTTTCAATGCTCGGACCCGAGGCGGCAGAAATGATGATGCATCGTGTCTCAACTGTCCATCTCCCCGACTGCTTTTGCCTTGTTCTTCTCCTCTGGCCTATCAAGGAAAAACTGCCGCCTTTGTATACAAACACTTCAGGTTCAATTTGGTCAGTGTGATCAAAGCTATTTCCCCATAGCACCTCATCTCGCTTACTGTCGCATCATCTTCGCACCGAATACATGTGTAACATCTTCATTATTCACCGGCCATCTTTGCCTTGACAAGCTGCGATGACAATTGATGAGCTTTAGCGAAAAACATCAGCTTTGTTACAGGTTCACCGGCGCCACGTCATCTGCGTTGGAACCGACCACTTTTGATTGAATCAGTTACATAACCGGAAAGCCACACATGTCAAGTCTGTGTGTTTGAAGCGGAAGCTGAGAAACAATGCAAGCGACCCGGCCTCTGAAACAAAAGTGTTGTGGACGCAATGATCTGTTATTTCATGCAGGTGTCTATGCTGTGCGTCGTAGATGTTGTCTGATGGCGATGGTGCCCAAGTCAAGACTGTCGGCTGTCCACACCAAAGCCACACACGACCAATCATCCTGCTCACCACCGACAGGCCGCGTTTACACGCCTATGTTTCTCATTCTTCAACGGCGCGCGGAGCCACGCAAACGGACTTTCCATGGCGTGACGTTGCGGCATATTGCAGCGTAGTTTCGCCGCGACGGGCCACATACTAACATAGTACTGGTAACATAATACTGCAGCGGTCAAGCATTTGGTGTCGTAAATGTGATTACGCCATTACGCTTTTACAACGTTTGGGGATCCGGTGTGGTCTCACGCCGTGACGCTTCTACGCTTTTACGACGTTTGGGGATCTGGGGCAGTCAACCTCTACGTCGTTACGTCGTTACGCTTTTACGCTGTTTGGTGGCGCGATTACGCCGTGACGCTTTTACGCCGTTCGGTCTCGGAAGCCCATTTTGCATTTTCCAGCGCCTGGAAAAAGCAAAATGAAGCGGAACGTCTCGGAAGCCCATTTTGCTTTTTCCAGCGCCTGGAAAAAGCAAAATGACGCGGAACGTCTTGGAAGCTCATTTTGCTTTTTTCCAGGCGCTGGAAAAAGCAAAATGACGGCGGCGCGTCTCGGAGGCCCATTTTGCTTTTTCCAGCGCCTGGAAAAAGCAAAATGACGACGAAGCGTCTCGGAAGCCCCTTTTGCTTTTTCCAGCGCCTGGAAAAAGCAAAATGACGGCGAAGCGTCTCGGAAGCCCATTTTGCTTTTTCCAGCGCCCGGAAAAAGCAAAATGACGCGGAACGTCTCGGAAGCCCTTTTTTGCTTTTTCCAGGCGCTGGAAAAAGCAAAATGACGGCGGAACGTCTCGGAAGCCCATTTTGCTTTTTCCAGCGCCTGGAAAAAGCAAAATGACGCGGAACGTCTCGGAGGCCCATTTTGCTTTTTCCAGCGCCTGGAAAAAGCAAAATGACGCGGAACGTCTCGGAAGCCCATTTTGCCTTTTTCCAGGCGCTGGAAAAGGCAAAATGACGGCGGAGCTTATGGAAGCTCAGTTTGCTTTTTTCCAGCGGGTGGAACGGCAGATCTCGGTATAGCGGTGTAACGGCGGATTGGTGTGTTGGCGTAACGGCGGATCTCGGTCTAGCGGTGCAGTCGCTCCTGCAATCGGTGCGTCGGTGTCTCGGTGCAACAGTGTCGGCTCCAAAGCAAAATGACAGCGGAGTGGATGGAGGCTCCTTTTCCGTCTGGTTTGCTCAGAAAAAGGAGCCGCATCTAAGACCTCCGAATGCTGGCGCTCCAGCCCACGCTCTGGAGCCATTCAGGCAAAAAAGGGCGGGGCAAGCCGCCGCTGCGGGGCGTGTCTTGTTGCTCATGCTTTGTAAGCAAGCAAGAGATGTTCCAGCTCTATATCGAGGCGGAAGTAAGCATCATATTGGATCCACATCGTCCGACGTGAGGAAGCTACGACTGGGGCAAGCCACCAAAGACAGCTGGGAATGCAAACGTGGTTTTGGAAGGTCAACTGGCTACCACATTGACTTCTTTCTCAGCCACTGCTGTATGAAGAACCCATCAGTCACCCTGCAAGTTGCGCACTCAACTCTGCTATCAGCAACGTCAAGCCAGTTTGGCGTCTTACTGACGCACATCACACGAGCTAACGCTTTGATCAAGAGAGAGATCAGTGAATGACTCCAGTAATCCGCCGAGCTGACCGTTTTATAGTTCTACAGCGTCCCGAGGGCCGCTCTATTAGAAAGAGGTCTGCGTATATAAATGTATTGGTATCTATATGTGCATCTATGTCCACAAGCACTACTGGGCGCCACATGTCCTGAATGAAACAATATCCTCCACTGACAGGCTTCTGTTTCACTGCGTTGTCGTTTGTGGAAAAAAAGCGGAGCAAGCCACCAGCAAGCACCTGGCCACGGCAGGAATGCATGTAAAGTAAATGTGACATAGGGCACACTTGCGACACCAAACGCTGGCCCACTGAAATGCGGCGGGGCAAGCCACCGCCCCGCTGCGAAGGGCAGGATGGTGAGGCCGACGGGGCCGGCCGTGGAGTTGACAGCCTGGTGCTTTCTTTTGGGAGCTCAGAAAATCAAAGTCAGTGGACACTGTTAGAAGATATTTTTTTCTTAAGACCAGAAACACGTCTGGAGGTCTGCTGCAAGTCACTATGGCTTTCGCGCGCTCGAGGGCGCAAAGGCGGGCTGGAAACCTGACAAGTTGCTGATGGTTCAGCGGGGATTGACGGAAAAAGGGAAGGTGTGCTGTTGGATGCGCTATGTCCAGTGTGTTTGACTGAGAGCGGTTGCCTGTGGCAGGCAGCCTCCGCAAATCATCTGTGAACTTCACGACCTTGTCCACTGCTCGCCCGAACGGCCAGCGCACACTCTGTATCCCTGCAACTTTCATTGGCAGCTCTACCTGCGCGCAGTGCGCGAGCAAGCCTGTGGAGGGAGGGAAAGTATATTCTGCCGTCGCTTGGCCTCCGCGTCGGCACAGCGTGTCCAAAGACCGCCGCAGCTCGGGGGACGCTAACATGACTGCCACGCAGCAATTGTAGACGATGTCAAGTGCCTCTACCGTCCTGTCATTGATGCC